AAAATTGTGAGGTGAAGCCTGTACTGTGAAAACTTTTTAGTGAGGAGCAGCTGGTCTCTGTCGTTTTTGACGTCTGGACCGCTGGAATGGAAACTACCTCGAATACCCTAACCTGGGCCATATGTTATATTCTGAACGACCAAAACGTGCAAGACCGTATCCACGCGGAATTGGATCGCGTAATCGGTTCGGACCGAAAGGTGACGATGGCGGATAAGAATGATTTGCCGTATGTGAATGCCGTCGTTAGTGTGAGTTTTCAGATACCTACAAAACTAGGATTTACATTTCTTAGCCTTTTAAAAGTACAACTTTTCAATAATGCCATTACGATAAAATTAATACGATAAACTTTATAGGAAGCCCAACGGATGGCCAATCTGCTTCCCCAAAACCTATTCCGCGTCACCAATGAAGACGTCAAAATCCAGGGCTACCATATTCCGAAGGGCTCCGTCGTTTGTCCACAAATCAGCTGTGTACTCTACGATGATAAGGTACCTTAAAAAAATTAGCATTACTATTATTATACAAAATAATTCATAAATCGTGACCAAAAAAAAATTGATAATGCTAACATTTTGAAATTTAATTTAAGGCATTATTACCCATTTTTTTAGATCTTCCCGGAACCGTATAAATTCAAACCGGAGCGCTTTTTGAATGCCGATGGCTCGTACAGAAAATATGAAGAATTGGTGCCATTTTCTGTTGGGAAGCGACAATGTGCGGGTGAAGGACTTGCAAGGCTCGAGCTGTACATTGTTATTGCAAATATCTTCCAGACGTTCAAGGTAATAAAATTAGCTAGTATTAAATAAATCCTGTTCAAAAATATAAAAATAGAAACAAGAAGATTAAGCTATGCTCAAGAAAGTGCATTTGGATATGTAAACTTTGAAAAACGAAAATTTTATCTCACACGTCAAGAATTATAGCTAGGCTTTCCACTAAATTGTCAATATTTTTTTGCTTAAACAATACAAAGTTGAAGCGGCTTTAAACAACACAAGAAAAACAATTTTTTTTAGATCTCCTCCAAAAACCTTTAAGCCCTCGACAGCGAAAACCATCGGCCAAGTCGTGACCGCGCTGCCGTATACCTGCGATTTTGAGCCGAGACAACGATAAGGATAAGATAGAATTTTCATACATTTTGTGTAAATAAACAAACAAATAAATACGTTATATCGAATAAGCATACATGATATCTTTGAAAAACTCGTCTTTCTCATCGGGAAACTAATTCCTGGAGGTTCCGGTGGAGAATCAAAAATGGGCGCCTGGAGTTGTGGAGATTGAGGAGAATACGGGAAAACTTCTTCGCATTTTAAATTCATGATTACAGTACACTTTGGGAGGTAGATTCCGAGTTCTTCAACCGGAAGCGAGGAGTGGAGATAGGGTTCTAAAAAGGCTATATGATTTGCGTCACGATCGATGGGTGCGATTTTTAGAAGACGCGGGATCAGACTTATGTTTAGTTTAGGCTTAGTTTAGGCTTAGGTTAGGCTTAGCATAGTCTTAGTTAGGCTTAGGTTAGGCTTAGCATAGTCTTAGTTTAGGCCTAGTTTAGGCTTAGTCTAGGTTTAGCTTCGGTTTCGCTTGGGCTACGCTTGGGCTTTGCTTAGGCGAACTTTGGCCTTAGCTTAAGCATTTAAGGCTAAACACCACAAGGGAACCACCTAAGGTCAAGGTGGCGTTTCGTTATGGGACCCAGCCTATTTTGTGCAGAATTTTTTGCTGATTTCGAATCCGCTTTTATTTTTTGCTAAATAGCCCAATTTAAAAAGTTATAACGTTTCAAAGTTCCATTTTTTCCCCAAATTTTCGAACTTCAAAGTCATTTATCTTGCCTTTCCCGTCTGATTCCTCAAAAACGAATATCGCCATTGTATTCAGAAAAATTTTCTCTATCGAATGAACTATTTAACTCAAAATTGTTGAAAATTGAAAAAATCGACGATACTTGGTATGGACTCCGTTTTTTGTATGGGAAATGGTGAAAAAATTGCCTATTTCACACCCCCTGTAAGTGATCGCCGATAGGTCGTAGCGCACTAATGAAATATACCAATCGAATCAGAAAAAAATTCTCTACAAGACAGGCTATTAAAAATCGACTGCCCTATTAATATAAAAAAGTTGGGCATCGTGACAGATGACTTTCCGCGGGCACAGATATGACCTTAAAATCGCTATAACTTTTTAAATTGAGCTATTTAGCAAAAATTGAAAGCGGGTTCGGAATCAGCAAAAAATTCTACACAAAATAGGCTGGGTCCCATAACGAAACGCCACCTTGACCTTAGGTGGTTCCCTTGTTAGGCTTACACTAACTAGGCTTAGCCTCTGCTTACTTAAATTGCCATATCGATCCTTGCTTTTCCATGACTTCAAATACCTACCGTAGTCGGTAATGTTAAAAAGTCCGGGCTGAACGTCGTCCAAATCAGTACTTTCGAAGTCAATCGTTGGCTTCCATTCCGGTAGATCATGTAGTTGAGGACTCTATTCACTAACATGTATGCTTCTTTTAAGAAGATATACCTCCAGGTATCGCTGCAAGCTAGCTTCCGCTTGTTGGTTGAGGTATTTGGTGGGCTTTCGTCGAAATTCGGGGGCGGTTTTCCTGCTGTAGAAAGTTATAAGTTAAACAATGCACTAACCCAATAACATTATCATTCCCTCGTTCCTTGTATCGCTGATAGGAGAACCAGTTCTGAAATTGAGCATGAGGTGGAGGACGACGATTCCATTTAAGCAGACGGGAAAACGTGCAAAACTCACGAGGACTGTTTGCCTCGGTACGTCCAACCACTCGGCCAGACGGGAGTATAACACCCGAGCTGGGAAGGGGTTGATCTGGAAAAAGCGCTTTCTGACTCATTTGGGTGAACGAGCACGAGAATTAGTGATACTAATTCTCGTGCTCTTCGAAAACTTCAAAACTCAAAATGTCCTTACTTCAAAGAACTGCTTCAGCAACGCGTGTTGCTCCTTCGTGAATTTTTTATAGCGACGCCGTCCTAAAACGTCGACGTATTAACGTCTACCAGATTCGATACCATAGTCATTTTCAGTTTTTGAAAGCGGCTTGATGGATTTCGTCGTAAATACAGGCATTAGTTCTGGAAAAAAAGTTAATGGGAGAACTATTGATTGCATTAAGGGCCTTATCTTGGGGAGGAGCTGGCAAGCTAGCTAAGTTCTTTGAGGAAAGGTTGCCCAAGAATGATAGAACATCCTCATCTGGTACGAACTTGGACCCAATTGGTGGCCGGATGCCCGCCCGAAAGGCCCTGATCCAAATTGCATAAACATACCGACTGTCTATTAGCATATGGGATGCGCCAGAAAAGGGGCAGCCGATCCCGGGCGGCAACTTGCTTGACCCACATCTGGCACCAGTCAGCGGCATATCTTAATAGTTTTTTTGGGTGAGATACCAAGGGAAAAAATCGGAAAAATACTATATTATAAGTTATCTATTGTTGTAAAAAGCCCTCGAGCACAATACCTGCTAAATATTACACAAGGACTTCGGGCTAGCCTCTGCGCTCCCACCGCCTTGCCGAAACGCGCGCGACCTGGCTCACTATGTCCGAAATCGTGCCAAGGTCCGTTCCCCACTCGTTTTACTAAGGCGCCACTTTCAAAGTTAAATTTAATAATTTAGCCAAAACCTTTTTCTTAATTTTTTTATCATTTTGGGGGTTCCTGACCAAGCTCTATTGGAATCCTAAGAGACCTAAACTCTAGCTCCTTTCCCCTTCGAGTCGAATAGGGGACAAGAGGGACGGACGGAAAATGATTTTGCTTGCTTGTAGGTCAAGGTTAAAATCGAAAAATGGCATACTAGAATCTTTATGCAAATCAGCCCCTTATTTTCATTTTTTTTTTTTTTGGAGTGAAAAGAAAGTATTGTTCCCCTTTCTGATCTCTGCAGCTTTGTGACCTATCATTGACCCTGGACTCCCGATTTTTCTCATTTCCCGAAACAAGCTGATTACCCCCGAGATTTATCTTCGTGTTCCCGGAGAAAGATACGCCCTGAAGTTTCTCAAATTTTGTCTTCCTCTCTCCTTCTTGCTGATGTGCATCTACCAAAAAGATTTTTTCCTTGGCCTTGAAAACATCCAGGCGCACATACAGGGCGCGGATTCAAATCGTTCCCTCCCTGACTTTTCTCGGGGTTTTTTTTTTTTGATGATTTTTGGTGTTACAATCGCCTTAAATATAGCGGTATTTTATAATTTCCTGTCTCCAGATTTCGAGATGATACTATTATTGCTCGGCATTTTAGCAATATGGTATTTATGGAATCAGCTGTATTGGAAAAGGCGTGGCCTACCTCCAGGTGGATTTGTCTTGATTTACGGCTATATCTAAGCTTATAAATTACTTTAAATTTTAAAGGCCCCACCCCGTTCGGGCCACTGGGAAACATGCCGGAAGTCATCTGGAAACTTCCTGGGTATGAAGCGTTTCGGCGTTGGGGGAGGAAATACGGGCCGGTACATACCTTCTGGTTAGGTAGGTGGAGAGAGACGGAGCCAGAGGGCGCGAGAGATAGATAGAGAAATAAAGAGAGAGAGAGAGAGAGAGTGCGAGAGACAGCAACATTTTCAGGTCCTTTACCTGTCATTGCCATCACTGACTACAAGACCCTAAAAGAGACGATCGTCCTCGATGGTGAAAAATATGTAGATCGCTGGTTTTTCAATGGGATTGCCGAGAAGATCATGGGTATACAGATTTATACCTTAAAAACCAAATTAAAGAGGCCGGTAAAAAGCGTCTATTTTTTGTTAAGGTGGTAACTACGGCATCATCCCCGCAAACGGAGATTTATGGAGGGAGCAGAGAAGGTATCTGAGGCGTAAGTTACCGAAAACTGTTGTTTTAGACTAGCGCTGCATATTTTGCGAGATTTCGGGCTTGGTCGTAACATTATGGAAGAGCGGGTGCTGGTGGAAGTTGATTATTTTCTTGACAGACTGGCGAAACTGAAGCGAGATGTGGATATGCAGGTCAGAAGACCCAAAAACCTTTCAAAAATGTTTTAGAGTGAGTTCGACACAGCAGTTGGGTCAATCACTAACAATTTGTTGTTGGGATATCGCTTTGATGAGGTGAGAGAGAGAGAGAGAGAGAGAGAGAGAGAGAGATAGAGAGAGAGAGAGGGAGATCTTGATTGTTCAGGACCGCCAAGACGAATTTCGACTTGTGAAAGGCTGCCTCCGCGAAATGAGCCTGGCTTCTACCAACCCAATGTTTATTCTAACAGCCTTGGTGGCTCCGCTTCAAAACATTCAGCCTTTTAAGGGTATATCTGACTAGTTTTTAGTTTCCAGGCTGAATTTAGGGGCTTTTGATAGCGTCCTTGCCTCCCGCCAGACTTTATTTGATTTTATTTTGAACCAAATAGCTGCCAAGCGAGAGAAAGTGGATTATGATAGTCCGGTAGGCAGAATGGAGCAAATTTTTGGATTTGTTATATTTATATCATGTTTTATATAATATATTTTATATATTGTATTTTATGATATCTTATTTTTTAGGATAAAAAATATGACCTGATTTTCAGAGTTCTAGTGACTTTGTTGAAGCCTATTTGAAGGAATGGGAACGGAAAAAGGGAACCGACCAGGAAGCCTACTTTTTGTAAGTTTACTTGTAACCTTTTAAATGGCCTTTTAAACTCTGAATTTGCCATTTTCTAGCGTTTAAAAGTTATTTAGCGACCTGCAATTCGGATCGGTCGTTTTTGACTTGTGGGCGGCAGGTAGATGAACATTAGACAGCCATGCAGCCGTTTTTAGGCCTCGATACAACCACCAACACCCTCAACTGGGCCGTCTGCTACGTGTTGAACCATCCAGAAGTGCAAGAAAAACTGCATGAGGAATTAGATCGCGTAATCCAGGCAGATCGCAAGGTGACGGTGTCCGACAAGAACAATCTACCGTATGTGAATGCTGTGGTTAATGTGGGTTTTTCAGGAATTGGAAAATACGGAAAATAATTTACAGGAAGTTCAAAGACTGGCTAACTTATTGCCTCAAAATATCTTCCGGTCTACTAATGCTGAAGTAAATATTGGAGGCTATAAGTTGCCGGCGGGTACGGTAGTGTGCCCGCAGCTCAGCACGGTGCTTTATGATGAAGAGGTAAGTGAAATGGGGATTCTCCCATCGCTCTCATTCCCTCTCTCTCTCTCTCTCTCACACTCTCTCGCTCGCTCTTTCTCTCTGTCTCTCACTCTTTCTCTGGCTCTCTCGCTCGCTACTCTTCTCTCTCTCTCTCTCTCTCTCTCTCTCTCTCTCTCTCTCTCTCGCTCTCTGTCTATCCAACTCTTCTTCCTTTCTTCTTTATTCCAGTCTTTTTCAGGTCTTCCCCGAACCCTACAAATTCAAACCCGAACGCTTCATAAATACAGATGGCTCCTTGAAGAAATTCGAAGAATTAATCCCATTCTCCCTCGGGAAACGGCAATGTGTCGGCGAAGGACTGGCCCGACTTGAGCTCTACCTCTTCGTAGCCAACATTTTTCAGCGATTTAAGGTAACTCCCATACCCTAAAAACTAAATTCTCTTTTTAGATAACGTCCGACCAAAAGCCGTCGATGAAGAAGAGCGCCGGGCAAGTGATGGCCGCACAGCCTTATACCTGCCACTTCCAAGAGCGCTCTTGATTTAGAGAACGATGGTCCAACCTCATAAATTTCCATATTTTTGGCGATTCGCATCGATTGAAAGAGCACAATTTATCAATTTTGACTCATAGCTCAAATTAACTTGCAGTTTTTGTGCCCAGCATACAAGGCGCGAATTTTTGAAGTTTGACTACATTTTAGGCATTGAAATACTGTCAGACAATTGAGTCATTTTTGGCAGAATGTTATGGTAGTTTCCTCAACAGCAAAATGTTATGTCTTTGACCAAGAATTTCGACCGAAAGGGGACCTGTTATACTTCACAAGAACGTGCGCTCATCCACTTTGGAAAAAATGAGGCCCCTTCGGCTTCTCCTTACAGTAGCCATTGGCGTCAGTGGAGTCGCGATAAGCCCAAACTGTAAGTATTATAATCTATATTGGTAAAATACCCGTATTATGTTAAATCGAAGACTTTCTCAGGGTTATATGTAAATTTGGTTTCGCTTTAGCTACCCTCCTTTGGGACCGCTTCTCGGCGTCACCCTGCCCTGATGGTTGGTACCACGCTCCAGAATTCCACAGTTGCTACTTGGTAATATTTCTTCAGCTCACTCAACAATTTTTTTAGAAAATCCGCAACTTCAACCTTAAGTAGAGTCGAGAATCCTGCCAGAGCTATGGGGCCGACTTGGCTTCGATCCACTCGGACACCGAAAATGCCCTGGTGCTCGGTCAGTGTGTTTCTCTGCGGTGTCCATGAAATAATTTTTAGAATTGGCGATGGATGACGATGTGCGGTTCGGGGACGGTGATCATCACGCGGTGCTGACTGGTGCTCACAAGGTATTGATTTTCAAGGGATTATTTTCACTTTGTCGAAGATTAGAATTTCGTGACTCGAGTTATCGTTTCTTTAAAAGGATAAGGAAGGTCCAGTGATCAGGGGCGATCTATAATTGGCAACGGACCAATCGGGAATGATAATGCAAAAACGAGCCAGTGAGTGGCGCGAGGCAGGAGAGAACCAAGAAGATTTATGCCAATTTTAGAACAAAAGCCCGTTTTACGCTAATTTTTCCTGCGACTTCCGGATCCCTTTAAGCAAGCTAGGAAATACCTGAATTTGGATATCGCCCTTATAGACTGTCAGAACGATGAAATTCCGTCGAGACCAAGAAAGTTGCGCACCGGGCGGGGGTCGAGCCCGCGATGATTCGCTCACAGTCCGACGCGCTAGCCACTATACCACAGGGCCAAGTGGGTAAGGGCGTCACAGGCGCCCCAAACGCCAGAGGGCCTTTACCCAGTACGGGGCACCACTAATGACGCCTCTCTCCGCGCGTTCTTGGGGGTCCCACCCATGGGGTGACAGTGTGCGTTCTAGAGTTTTAGCAGTCATTAAGGTGAGCGGCGCGTGGACCTGGCTTGACGAGTCGCCATTCGACTTTACCCACTGGGCCGAGGCTGAGCCTAATAACTGGCAAGATCCACTCGACACGCTCCCATCTGGCCAGACGATTCGGGAACGCGCTGAGGACTGCGTCGCTGTAGGATTTTTGGAAATTTTTATCGGGTTTATTTATATTAGTTGATATCAACGGCTTTATTCTGTCATTACATAATTTTCAGATCTACCTTTCCAAAAGTTACGGGCAACACACCATTGGCCAAGTGGGTGGGTGAAATGAAAATGTCTGCGACCGACCCTTCACCGCTGCCATTTGCAAGATGCGAGCCAGCAAATTATTTCATGACCAAGACTGAAAATTTACTTTTTTTGAATAAATGGTTATTCTTCGTCCGTTACTGAATATTCTTTTAGATCATACAGGGTGTCCCTAAAAAGGCCCCCTGTAGCGGTCCGCAGTCATAGCCGTATTTCACGATTTAGGTATCTATCGAAAGCTCTGGATAAGCTGAAGAGTCATATATTTACTAAGATTTTTGGGGTATGAACCTAAATTTTTTTGCTTTTCCCAGGCAAAGCGTTTTTCATAAAACCCAATTTTTCAAGTTTTCACGCCTTTCCTGGCAGCCTGCAAACAGCTTTTTGAAAGCCGTTTGAGAAAACCCAGCCAGGATGAGGTGGAAGTCGATCAATATAGTTTTTTGCAGAAAGATGTGTAAGTTTTGCAGAAAAACGATCAAAATCGAGCTAAAACTCGACTCGATCCGGCTTGACTGGGGATTGCTTGAGCGGGGGATCCTCCTTAAGTCCTTCCATTTCCAATTATCTTTCTCGCTGCCCGAAAAGATAAAGCCAAAGAGCCGGGCTTCTTATTAGTGACAACTTTCCGCAACATGATGCATTTTTGAGTAGATCTTGCGGTGGCCGTTGATTAAGAATTCGGACGAACTGTGCCATTCAGAGTTTCCGCGGGTCCCCCGCCCCCACTCCGGCACCCAAGCCTAGCCGGCAGTTCCTATTAAAAACCGTACTTTTTCCGGACACTCGTGACGTCCCTGAATCGATACCTAACGATGGGCGTCCTCTTCGTTCTTCTCTTTATTTCGGTCGCTGATGCCTTTTTGAGTCTCCATAGTAAGTACGAACTTTATTTAGAGTTTCTTGAATACCTCCCTACCTTTACTAGTCGATCAGATCGAATCTTTATTGGTGAAAAACGTTATATATTATTCGTCAAAAATATTTTATCCTAGGTTACACACAATGCATTCGCCAGCTACGCGTCGGTGACGTCATCACCATCAAGGGGCACGTCATTGCCGGGGCCAGACAGTAATTTCATCCTCTGATCCGAGGTATTAGCTGTTCAGGTGGAAGTGTAGCATCTCGGAGCAGGGAATGAATAACTCCATCATCCACGCCGACCATCGAATTTCCACCGGGCGTGGGTATCCATGCACAGTGCTCAATGCCAGTTCCGGGTCGGTAGGTGAAGCATTACTGTTCTGAAGTCGGACAACATTCTGCAGGATTGGGAAACGGAGGACGTAAAAAGTGGTTCGGTTCCGTTTATTGCGGGACCTTTTGAGATGACGTTTCGGTAAGTTTCGTCAGGAGACATCGACAAAAATACCTTCAGAATCCTGGAGGAGTGGATGGTGGAGGTGTACTACAAGAATGCTTCATGGGTTGGTACGACTTATAAACGAAACCAGACAATTCCGTTGAGCACGGCTCGACAAGTTGAGGTGAGTGAGAGCGAAAGAGAGAGAGTAAGGGAGAGATCAACATCGATCAATGCATGATTCTAGAGCCCCGTTTAATCCTTGAATCCCTTTAGTGTCACGGTGATGTCCTGGACGTCACCTTCCATGGCGCGAGGATGACTGGCAAAGTGGAGTCCCAACATATCTTGCTCAAAGATACTTTCTAGGTCAACCCAGTGGATAACCGCGATGATTGCTTGAAGCTATCAAGGGGCTGAAACGCTAAAAAACAAACCATCGAGTCTGCTGGATCACGAGACTAATTAAGGGCCATATTTTTCGAGCGGCGTTATTTGGTTTAGGATTCTGAGTGTAGATCCGAATAAATTCATACCGTTTTCGAAGGCGCTGTCCAATTTTCTGCAAAAAAGTTGAAAACTGGCCACAAAAACGCGAAGTGGTTTTCGTGTGAGAGAGTGAGATAGAGAGACAGATACAGAGAGATCAATTCCAAAGAGCATTAGACGATATTTTTGTCTTTTGCTTTGTGCTGTACGGCGTTGCTTATTTCTCTGTTCCGCTTGCTTATTGCTTTGCCACTGTTCTATAGTCCCTTGCACCATAAATCACCCATCAATCGCGTATGCGCACTTTTTGAGCGTGCCAAGTCGTGTGAGCGGGATTTTATTGTCCTCTGAAGTCCTGGGCGCAGTACGGTAAAATGTGGGAAGACAAGGGGTGGATATAAACTTCCGAAAATCAGCCGGCGACACGAGTTGATGATGCGACTACCGCTGTTTCTCATCTTTGCTGCGACGGCTAATTGCTACGTCAGCCCACATTGTACGTTGTTAGTATTGTCAAGGAAATTACCATATTTTCTCCAAGATGACCCCGGGGGTGCTATCCAATCACCTCCGGGGAGGGGTTGTATTAGCGAGAAGGATATCGTTTTCCTGGTTTTGAACAATTACAACGATTTCTAGCAGTTCAAACTGCTCAAAACCACTCAGGAACACAGTACGCAGCTTAATCGGAAGCGTTTTTGCATTTACTTATTAAAGGCAACCCCGAAAAAATTTTTGTTGCGGGCTATGTTAGAGGAAATATGGTAAAAGTGGTTGTAGGGTATACGCAGTGCTTCCGACGGGTGTTGAAAGTTGGAGACATCATCACGATCAAGGGTCATGTAATCACTGGCGCGACGCGGTAAGATAAAGAGAGAGCGAGAGAGAGAAAGAGCGAGAGAGAGTGAGAGACAAAATTTTTCAGATGGACATGCAATATCGCCGAGAGTGAAATGAACAACATCATCATCCATGCCGACCACCGTATCCACCCCACGCCGGCCGAAGGAGCTTGGGGAACCCATGTTAACGCTCGCCCCGGAATGGGGGTAGGTTTTTGAGCTATCTATTTCATCAAATACAATAATTCACGTCCAATATTATAAAAAAATCGATAATGACGTTTAGGCGTGGAACTACGACGCGGGCCATGGAGCCATCCCCTTTGCCGGCGGGCCATTTGAATTCACATTCAGGTACTCACGCAACGACACTTTTTGGACTGTATATCTTTTTAGAATCCTTGACCCGATGACGGTAGAGATTTACTACAAAAACGCTACCTGGACTGGGACGAGTTATAGACGGCCCAGCATTGCCTTGGAATCGTCCCGTCAGATCGATGTAAGTCTCGAGTCATCATTCGACATAACAGTATCCGATCGTGGGTAGCTACGCAAAAAAATGGTTCAAATCCGAACAAATCTAGGGTGGCTAATTAAAATTTCTTTTAGTGCAACGGCGACGTCCTCGACGTCACTTTCCATGGTGATATGATGAGGGATAAGGTGAGAGTAAACTACCGTAACCCAGAATTACAATCATCAGGTCTTGCCAGTGAAAAGCCGCAGCGACTGTCTGGTTCTACCGAAAGAACGACCACCGCAGTAACTTGGTTTAAATGAGTCCAAAAATACGTATTTTGTAGCCGCCACGACAGCCGTGATGATCATCGCCATAGCCATGATAGCCATGATGATCACCATCATCATCATCACGGCAGCGACAGCCAGAGCAGCGAGGAGTGGCCGAAGAAGGACAAGGACGGGAAAGAGGGCAAGGATGCGTGGGATGGTAAGGAATTTTCGGATTCGGTACAGAGCTTCTCTACGTCGGTTGGTTGACAACCAAAGATTTAAACAGTTTGCATTGTTTAAGACAGGAATTAACCTTTTGGGGATTGACAAATTTTACATTTTTTTCAGCCTACAACATCGAGGTCCCGGATGGCTGGAAAAACTGAGTTGCATATAAAGAAGAATTTCTGTTATTTGTGGACGCACTGATGACCCAAGATACGCCCTTTAACGTCAGACTACTACGTTAAAATCCACATCAAAACATTAAATAGAATTTCCTAGCTCTTTTAAAGCGATAAAAGCACAGACCAACTCCCAAGAGCACAGATGGCCTTTAATGCCCGGCAGGCGTGCGACTCGGCCTGGAATTTTATAATTCTTTTACGGGGCGCCCCTGCAGAACTGCGGTCAACCGTGAGAGCATAGTTCATAAAATGCAAATAAATTGGTGGGGTATAAACTTCCGGAACGGATGCGCGGAAGGTGTTCTATTTTTGGCGTCAAATGCGGCTTGTACTGTTCCTTGTCGTCGTGACCGGCGTAGCGAATGCGTATATTGATCGGCATGGTATGAATATTTATATACGTCCTACATAAAAAAGTTGAACAGCATTTCGTACTTCAACTCTTTTAGATTATACGCAATGCTTCAAGAGGATCCTGCGGGTCGGCGACGTCATCACCGTCAGGGGAAAGATCCTGAACGGCGCGACACGGTATTGCCATATTGCCCTCCTTGAAGTTGTCGGGCGAGAAAGAGAGAATGCGAGAGAGCGAGAGAGCGAGAGAGAGCGAAGAGAGAGGGATCGGGGAGAGGCTCATTTTCCAGGCCCAAACTTTTTGCATCCGTTGTTCATCTCCAGATGGACGTGCAACATCGCGATGAGCGAGCTGAACAACTTAATTATCCACGCCGACCACCGAATCCGTCCGACATCCGTCGAAGGAGCGTATGGCACTCATGTAACTGCTCGCATCGGAACTACGGTAAGTGGGAGAGAGAGAGCGAGAGAGAGCGAGAGAGGGAGGAAGAGACAGCGAGAGAGGCACAGGGAGATTTCTTTAGAAATGGCTAAACGACAACTTCAAAGCGGCCATCCCATTTACCAGCGGGCCATTCGAACTTGTTTTCAGGTACCTTCCACTCCTGTTTTATAATCTACCTGTTTACTTGCTACTACTAATTTCACTAGTACAGTGTTACTATTTATTATTCTCGTTAACACTGCTCGATTTAGCATCGTGAGTGAGGGGATTGTCGAAATCGCCTACAAAAATGCTGTTTTCAACGGGACCAGCTTCAACCGTGGCACCAACATCCCGTTGTCAGTGGTTCGACAAATCGATGTGAGCTATATAGTCGTCTCGATTTTGAAAAAGTCTCTCGACGTCCGGACCTTGACTTCCTAACACCTTTAAAACCTTTTTCGTGACATAATTGATTATCCCGTCATGGTGAAAGGTTTGCGTTGCGTGTCGCGTGCGCTGCTCCTTCGGAATGCCCAGCCATGCGTTGCCCAACTCTGCAGACCCAAAAAAATTCAAATTCCAGTGCAGCGGCGACCTTGTCGACATCACCTTCCATGGGGACATGATGAGGGATAAGGTGTGCTTGAGATACCGTAACTAATAGCTACCGTATCCAGGTGTTGCCCGTAGCCAACCGCGATTGCCTGATGTTCCCGCCAGAGCCGGCCCGACAGTAACCAGATCTAGCGTTATTTTTTATGGTCTTTAGACGTCGTCCACCGGTCAAGAGACCTATCTTTGATCGACATCTCCGCCGTGATCATGATCGTGACAACAAATGGGGTGACAGCGACAGTAACGAACGAGGATTCAACGGTACCTTAAGGGCGCAGAGCGCAAAAATCCCGGCATCAAAAATCCCGACCGCTGTTTGTAAGGAAGGAGGATTCAATTAAGCTTCAAAATATGTTGCCATATAAATTTTGGGTTATCTGGATTTTGGCTGTCGGGATCAAGGCTGTCGGAATTTTATCTGTCGGTAGTTTGGCAAGGATTCAGACACAAATCGCGAATAATAGTGCCGCGAAGCTTTGATTCGTCGATTTTGTCGTTAATTATTTTTTGTCTTTAAATTGATAGTTTTAGGACATTTTTTGGTTATATATTTTCCTCATCTCTTTCAGGCTTCAACATCGAGACGTCTGACGAACGCTGGGATTACTAAAACTATTGGAACGATGGGCCCGTAGATGAATAAGTTGTTTGAAAAATGACCAAAGCATTTGATTCGACCCGCACCAAAAAAATTTGAACAAGCCTGAAACTTTTAGGAGAATTTAGGAAATAGGAGAAGGAAAGAGAGTTGTAAGCGGTGTTTTTGCGAAATCAAGTGCTTTAAAAATTGGTTCTCTTGGCCCTGATCAACAACTTTGCAAAGGCGCCGGTTTTTCGGGGTTATCCCGACTGTCTCGGAGATAAATCTCCCGGAATTGGGTCGACCGTGTATCGATTTGGTTTGGAGTCACTGCCAATTTAGGAGGAACCAGCGCTGACCCCCCGCTACGCGGGGGTTCAGCGCTGGCCTCCCCCCCGCATCCCACAATTGGAATTTGCAATTTGAATGCAAAATTTGGCTGAATTCCTGGACGGGCGGGCGGGCGTACGGACATTAGAAATTTATATATAGTAGATTCCAGTCATTTTTCCTAAAAATTATTTTTCCTAAATTCATTTTTCCTAAATTCATTTTTCCTAAAAATCATTTTTCCTAAAAATCATTTTCCTAAAAGTCATTTTTCCTAAAAATCATTTTTTCTAAAAGTCATTTTTCCTAAAAATCATTTTTCCTAAAAGTCATTTTTCCTAAAAATCATTTTTCCTAAAGTTCATTTTTCCTAAAACCAGTTAAATACCGTAAAGGCCTAGTTCTTTAGTACTATGCATGAAAAATAGAAAATTTTTTAGAATAAGGTCAGATCTGCCTAGAGTGATCATAGGAAGTATTTTAGTTGCGCGTTTAGCCTAGATTTGCGTGATTGGAAGTGAAAAAGATCAATGATAATAAGAAAGATTTTCGATAAAAGCCTACTAATAACCAAAGCAAACAAATACTGCTATAAAATGATAGCATTTGGAATTTCATGATATTTTTACGCATCCCTATTGAATGAAAAATTTTAGGAAATATGACTTTTAGGAAAAATGATTTTTAGGAAAAATGATTTTTAGGAAAAATGAATTTAGGAAAAATGAATTTAGGAAAAATGATTTTTAGGAAAAATGAACATAACCCATTTAGGAGATATTTTCGTTAAGTACATTAAATTACTACTTCCCAGAAGATTCCTACCGCTCATTGACATCCGAAATTATCGATATAAGACACAGGCAAGGTTCTCGTAATATAGAGTTTTTAGGATAGAAATGAACTCAAAAATTATTGTATGCCTATTTTTGCGGCTCCTCGCACTCGGAGGTATGCCTTACAAAAACCACAGCCTATCAGTAGTGCCCAAAAAACGGCAAAGGTTTTTAGGAGGGTCCACCACAACTGCGTCCACCACAACTTCAACAAGTTCAGCAGCCACCGATTCTGTGAATAGTATTTGCAATATGCATAAATAAATATAAATAAATATAAATAATAAATTAATATAAATATGCATATCTGATTTGAGAAAGAGTGCCGATAATTCGAATACGACGATCGTATTTGAATAACTATCCGCTAATTCCGACGCGATGATCTGGCAAGTCGGCTTCACGTCGGGATAAAAAGCTAATTTAAAATTCAAGACGAACTGAGATGTAAATATCAAAATATTGACAGAGCCACTGGAAATGACCGGGAAATCGGCTCCTAAATCTATTCAAATTATGCATATTCTGACTACTTGTTTCCATTTACCGATCGTTTTCTTCGTAATATCGCTTTGCATCCAAATTAGCTTATTATTCAATTGTGACCCGCTTAAACGAATACGAACGTCGCATTCGCTTGGTTCCGCCCCTAATTCGAATACGATGATCGGGTAGATAATTAAGAAATTTTTGATTCCGACGGCTTATTCGAATACGACGCGTAACTCCCATGTCGTATTCGTATGCGTAACATCTCTAAAATACACCCTCCGATCTTTTGGTCCCATACATCACATTCGAATGGCGACCATTTATGATGGGGCTGCAGTTATACAGTAAATCGTGGGAGTAAAAAGTTCGTAAAATGCAAATAAAAGTAGGATATAAAGTTTGAAAGCCCAACGAGTTCGTTCCGTTTTGTGGCCATGCGGGCGCTACTACTTCTGGCTATAATTTCATTGAGCAGTGCCTACGTCAGTCCGCACTGTAAGTGAAAAGTGTCAAAAAATATTGAAAATAATAGCGTTAATTTTAAATTCCTTTAGGGTATACGCAATGCTTCAGGAGGAACCTACGTGTCGGCGACGTGATCAGGGTCAAGGGGTCGATCATTTCCGGAGCAACCCGGTAAATACCTCTAGATACCTATTTGCTGTCGCAAGGCCGTATAATTTTTATTGCTCGAAAATTCATATTAAAAAAAGTTTCTATGCTAATTTAATTTTTAATGTTTTCCAGTTGGACATGCAACATCGCGATGAGTGAGATGAACAACATCATCCTTCATGCAGATCACAGAATTCGTCCAACGCGCGTCGAGGGGGCTCGCGGAACCTACGTGAATATTCGACCCGGAATGGGTGTGAGTACATTACGATACTATCCACACTACGTTAAAGCCGTACCGAATCGAATGTATGCTTTTCAACGTACCGAATTAGGCAACAAACATCAATGACAGTACAAAACTGATTAATGTTTAGGGCTGGGTACACAAGAATTATCACGCTGCCATCCCGTTTTCCGGTGGACCGTTCGAGATGAGCTTTCGGTGAGTCGGGACACTGCCTGAAGCTCTCAAACTAATACTGTTATCCATGCGAATTGCATACGTTCAGAATAATCGCTGAAAAATACGGTAGAGGGGTCGTGTACAATAAAGACGACGTTTGCCGGGACAACTTACAATCGTGGAAAGCACATTCCGCTCTCTGTCGTCCGGCAGATTGATGTAAGAAAGTGTCCATTAAATGGTATAGAAAACAGAATTAACAAAAATTGCAGTTCCGGCCCCTTGACAATGATTTTAGTGTAACGGCGATCTCATGGATGTCACTTTCCACGGGGACATGATGAGGGATAAGGTATCTGTTGGCTATAGAGTACCTGGCCTACCGTACCCAGGTATTGCCGGTGAAGAGTCGCGGTGACTGTATGATGTTTCCACCATCACCTCCTCCGTAGGCTTATTTTAGGGTCTATTGGATTTGTATAATTTCTAGCCGCTCCCGCTCGAGGGAACACCCCCATCACAGCCACAGCCATGGCTGGAGCCACAGCCATAGTCACAGCGACAGCGGGAGTCACGACAGAGGTTTCGATGGTACGCTAAAATTACGAAATTTATTAGGAAAACGCCCTTTGTTAGGAAGAATTAGCATACTAAGAAAGTGGCGGTAGCTTATACAGGGTGTCCCAAAAAAAACCCCCCTCGGCATTTGGCCGTCTTCCATCCAATCGGGACCAAATTTTTACCAGTGATGGGGACCCATAAAAACTATGTGCAGCCGAATTTTCTAAGCAAAAGATTGTAAAACAAAGAAGATATATAAAAATTAAGGTTTATTTTGCCGATTTCACTAGGATTTTGACGGATTTAGGCCTCGAAATGTTTAGCAAAAATCAAGAGGGCACTCTTTTCCACCTGTAGGAATTTTTTAATTTACGAAAATTACGTTTAAATTGGGCCTTTTGATCACTTTTTATTATCGATATTGCCAGAAACTGACCGAGAAATGACCATTTTTTGGAAAATTACTCAAAATCCGCATGCTAATTGCGAAAACATAGCCAAAAACGAGTACCAGCCTTTTCCCAAAATCAGTTTTTTGGCGATAACTTTTTGGTTTTACAATATTTTGCTTAGAAAATTCGGCTGCACATAGTTTTTATGGGTCCCCATTACTGGTAAAAATTTGGCCCCGATCCGATAGAAGACGGCCAAATGCCGAGGGGGGGTTTTTTTGGGACACCCTGTATATAAGGCGAGAGATGTGCGTTCTTCGCTTTCCAATGCAGAGAATCCACGAACTTTTCCCCAAAAATTTATTACGCCGTTTTTTTCTGTTGCCGAAAATCCATTTCTGCCAAATTTTGCCTAACGCCCTAATGTCGAAATGATAATTCAACAAATTGAAAGGGGATAGCTTGCAAAAACGGAAAAAAAATACTTTTCAGACTTCAACATCGAACTTCCGCGGTTTGGACACGACTAACAAACATCACACCATGTTTTTTGGCTGTCAAAAAGATACATTTTGCAAAAACGTTAGTGCTCCTTACTACTATACCTTAAATACAGTATCAGCTATAATAATTTTGCTGTGTAGTACGTCCGTCATGTCCGGAATTCAACTCGAAGGGGAAAGGAGCTAGAGCTTAGGTCTCTTCGGATTCGGATAGAACGCCGGCAGAAACCCCGAAACTGTTAAAAATTATGGAAAAAGTTTTCGCTTCAATAATCAAATTTAACTTTGGAAGTTGTTTCTTTAGTAAATGGAGTGGGTGAACGGACTTTGGCACGATTGTGGACATAGTCGCGCGCGTTTCGGCGAGGAGGAGGGAGCGCAGGGTGGTAGCCCGAAGTCCAGCCGCTGGCAGCGGCGAAGTCGTTGTAAGCGGCTGGCATTAAATAATTTGCCTTATATTGCGATTAGTTTATGGGCTCAAATACGGAGCTGATTGCCTAAAGACCAGTTCTGTCTATTGTCCCGCGTCATCGCTTTGTTATAAAGCCTACCTTACATTGCTTTGGACGTTCCTACTCAAAATATCATTTCCGCAACATCTGACTATGCAGAAACAAAGCGTACACTGAAGCCTTTTCCGTTTGAAAAGTTGACCATAGAAGCAAAAGCACATCTTTTCGGTTGCCGGAAATCGGCTTCTTGGCCGCCGATGGGAGCCGGCCGGTCGTAATCGGGCTTGGAAGGCCTGGTCGACGAGGGCTGCCTAGTTGCAACATTCAAAAAATCGTAGCAATTAAACCAGGGCCTCCGGGGCTCCGGAAGAAACGGTTTTCGGTACTATTTTTGGTGCTCTTTCAGGTGCACACATCAAAGCGATTTCGCACGGTCGATTTCTTGCGGAATCGGGCTTGGAAGGCCTGGTCGACGAGGGCTGCCTAGTAGCAACATTCAAAAAATCCCAGCAATTAAACCAGGGCCTCCGGGGCTTCGGAAGAAACTATTTTCGGTACTATTTTTGGTGCTTCTTCAGCTCCACATCGAAGTGCGTGATGAATTTCTCGAAATTTTTTTGGTAAATTCCGAAAAAATCCATGTGGTCCCCCCTTTAGTCGTAAACCATCAAAACCAAAAGTTTCAAAAAATCGTAGCAATTAAACCAGGGCCTCCGGGGCTTCGGAAGAAACGGTTTTCGGTACTATTTTTGGTGCTCTTTCAGGTGTACACATCAAAGCGATTTCGCACGGTCGATTTCTTGCGGAATCGGGCTTGGAAGGCCTGGTCGACGAGGGGCTGCCTAGTTGACAACAATTCAAAAAATCCCAGCAATTAAATCAGGGCCTCCGGGGCTTCGGAAGAAACTGTTTTCGGTACTATTTTTGGTGCTTTTCTAGCTCCACATCAAAGTGCGTGATGAATTTCTCGAAATTTTTTGGTAAATTCGAAAAAATCCATGTGGTCCCCCTTTAGTCGTAAACCATCAAAACCAAAAAGTTTCAAAAAATCGTAGCAATTAAACCAGGGCCTCCGGGGCTTCGGAAGAAACTGTTTTCGGTACTATTTTTGGTGCTTTTTCAGCTCCACATCGAAGTGCGTGATGAATTTCTCGAAATTTTTTTGGTAAATTCCGAAAAAATCCATGTGGTCCCCCCTTTAGTCGTAAACCATCAAAACCAAAAGTTTCAAAAAATCGTAGCAATTAAACCAGGGCCTCCGGGGCTTCGGAAGAAACTGTTTTCGGTACTATTTTTGGTGCTTTTTCAGCTCCACATCGAAGTGCGTGATGAATTTCTCGAAATTTTTTTGGTAAATTCCGAAAAAATCCATGTGGTCCCCCTTTAGTCGTAAACCATCAAAACCAAAAGTTTCAAAAAATCGTAGCAATTAAACCAGGGCCTCCGGGGCTTCGGAAGAAACTGTTTTCGGTACTATTTTTGGTGCTCTTTCAGGTCCACATCAAAGCGATTTCGCACGGTCGATTTCTTGCGGAATCGGGCTTGGAAAGTCCTGGTCCCGAGGGCTGCCCTAGTCGTAACCACAAAACCCAAAATTTCAAGAAATCCTAGCAATTAAACCAGGGCCTCCGGGGCTTCGGAAGAAACGGTTTTCGGTACTATTTTTTGGTGCTCTTTCAGGTGCACACATCAAAGCGATTTCGCACGATCGATTTCTTGCGGAATCGGGCTTGGAAGGCCTGGTCGACGAGGGGCTGCCTAGTTGCAACATTCAAGAAATCCTAGCAATTAAACCAGGGCCTCCGGGGTCTCGGAAGATACCGTTTTCGGTAGCAAAAAATACGCTCACAGATATATTTGGTTGATCTAGGGGGGTCGATATGATTGCGAAATTCGTCGTAAAAAAGGTCGCATTCAAGGCCGGGTCTCAGCAGATCGCAGCACAGGTAGATGCTAGAGCTACACCACGTACGGGAGGGAAGGTTGAGGGAGGAGCATCAGCAACAACGACACCTCCTGGGGACCGCCACCCTATTCTAACTAAGGTAGCCGGCGCTGTTCCGGAAATCTCTCGGTGTAGTGCTTAGGCTAGGGCTGCTATGGACGGCTAACTTCGTAGCCCGATCCAACAAAAATCAACAACCAAGTATCTAGCGGTGCAACGCGCCGAAAAAAATGCCCCAACAAATCCGGCTGGCCCAAAAAAGCATACCAGTCCGGGGGCCCGTCCTAAGCCTCTAAGCTAAGCCTGCCTAAGCCTGCCAAGCCTAGCCTAAGCCTAGCCTAAGCCTAAGCCTAAGCCTAAGCCTAAGCCTAAGCCTAAGCCTAAGCCTAAGCCTAAGCCTAAGCCTAAACTGAGGGTCAATCGTTGGCCTACTCAGTGGAAAGCTTTGGGAACCCCCTCCACACCAGTGGGCCAGGTGGGGGGCGGGTGCGAAGCAAGCAGTGAAGTCCGCCCTGCGATTCCGCTACGAAATGGCGTCCGGAATGCGGAAACGCCCGATTTGGCTCAATTGAGGATTAGGGGTCTTCGAGCTGCGGTTGCGCCAAGGAGCGATGTGACGGCCGAGCCAGTTAGCAACCCGGAATCAGCGTTTCAAAGCGCTTCGAATGGTCTGCTTACATTGATCGGAAGCGCGCGGCCCGTTTTTGAAAAAATCTATGTGCTCCCCCCTTTAGTCGTAAACCATCAAAACCAAAAGTTTCAAAAAATCGTAGCAATTAAACCAGGGCCTCCGGGGCTTCGGAAGAAACTGTTTTCGGTACTATTTTTGGTGCTTTTTCAGCTCCACATCGAAGTGCGTGATGAATTTCTCGAAATTTTTTGGTAAATTCCGAAAAAATCCATGTGGTCCCCCTTTAGTCGTAAACCATCAAAACCAAAAGTTTCAAAAAATCGTAGCAATTAAACCAGGGCCTCCGGGGCTTCGGAAGAAACTGTTTTCGGTACTATTTTTGGTGCTTTTTCAGCTCCACATCGAAGTGCGTGATGAATTTCTCGAAATTTTTTTGGTAAATTCCGAAAAAATCCATGTGGTCCCCCCTTTAGTCGTAAACCATCAAAACCAAAAGTTTCAAAAAATCGTAGCAATTAAACCAGGGCCTCCGGGGCTTCGGAAGAAACTGTTTTCGGTACTATTTTTGGTGCTCTTTCAGGTGCACACATCAAAGCGATTTCGCACGATCGATTTCTTGCGGAATCGGGCTTGGAAGGCCTGGTCGACGAGGGCTGCCTAGTTGCAACATTCAAAAAATCCTAGCAATTAAACCAGGGCCTCCGGGGTCTCGGAAGATACCGTTTTCAGTAGCAAAAAATACGCTCACAGATATATTTGGTTGATCTAGGGGGGGTCGATATGATTGCGAAATTCGTCGTAAAAAAGGTCGCATTCAAGGCCGGGTCTCAGCAGATCGCAGCACAGGTAGATGCTAGAGCTACACCACGTACGGGAGGGAAGGTTGAGGGAGGAGCATCAGCAACAACGACACCTCCTGGGGACCGCCACCCTATTCTAACTAAGGTAGCCGGCGCTGTTCCGGAAATCTCTCGGTGTAGTGCTTAGGCTAGGGCTGCTATGGACGGCTAACTTCGTAGCCCGATCCAACAAAAATCAACAACCAAGTATCTAGCGGTGCAACGCGCCGAAAAAAAATGCCCCAACAAATCCGGCTGGCCCAAAAAAGCATACCAGTCCGGGGGCTCGTCCTAAGCCTCAGCCTAAGCCTAAGCCCGCCTAGCCTAAGCTAAGCCTAAGCCTGTGCCTAAGCCTAAGCCTAAGCCTAAGCCTAAGCCTAAGCCTAAGCCTAAACTGAGGGTCAATCGTTGGCCTACTCAGTGGAAAGCTTTGGGAACCCCCTCCACACCAGTGGGCCAGGTGGGGGGCGGGTGCGAAGCAAGCAGTGAAGTCCGCCCTGCGATTCCGCTACGAAATGGCGTCCGGAATGCGGAAACGCCCGATTTGGCTCAATTGAGGATTAGGGGTCTTCGAGCTGCGGTTGCGCCAAGGAGCGATGTGACGGCCGAGCCAGTTAGCAACCCGGAATCAGCGTTTCAAAGCGCTTCGAATGGTCTGCTTACATTGATCGGAAGCGCGCGGCCCGTTTTTGAAAAAATCTATGTGCTCCCCCCTTTAGTCGTAAACCATCAAAACCAAAAGTTTCAAAAAATCGTAGCAATTAAACCAGGGCCTCCGGGGCTTCGGAAGTAACTGTTTTCGGTACTATTTTTGGTGCTGTTTCAGCTCCACATCGAAGTGCGTGATGAATTTCTCGAAATTTTTTGGTAAATTCCGAAAAATCCATGTGGTCCCCCCTTTAGTCGTAAACCATCAAAACCAAAAGTTTCAAAAAATCGTAGCAATTAAACCAGGGCCTCCGGGGCTTCGGAAGAAACTGTTTTCGGTACTATTTTTGGTGCTTTTCAGCTCCACATCGAAGTGCGTGATGAATTTCTCGAAATTTTTTTGGTAAATTCGAAAAAATCCATGTGGTCCCCCTTTAGTCGTAAACCATCAAAACCAAAAGTTTCAAAAAATCGTAGCAATTAAACCAGGGCCTCCGGGGCTTCGGAAGAAACTGTTTTCGGTACTATTTTTGGTGCTCTTTCAGGTGCACACATCAAAGCGATTTCGCACGATCGATTTCTTGCGGAATCGGGCTTGGAAGTCCTGGTCGACGAGGGCTGCCTAGTCATGCAACAAAATTCAAAAAATCCTAGCAATTAAACCAGGGCCTCCGGGGCTTCGGAAGAAACTGTTTTCGGTACTATTTTTGGTGCTTTTTCAGCTCCACATCGAAGTGCGTGATGAATTTCTCGAAATTTTTTGGTAAATTCCGAAAAAATCCATGTGGTCCCCCCTTTAGTCGTAAACCATCAAAACCAAAAGTTTCAAAAAATCGTAGCAATTAAACCAGGGCCTCCGGGGCTTCGGAAGAAACTGTTTTCGGTACTATTTTGGTGCTTTTTCAGCTCCACATCGAAGTGCGTGATGAATTTCTCGAAATTTTTTTGGTAAATTCCGAAAAAATCCATGTGGTCCCCCCTTTAGTCGTAAACCATCAAAACCAAAAGTTTCAAAAAATCGTAGCAATTAAACCAGGGCCTCCGGGGCTTCGGAAGAAACTGTTTTCGGTACTATTTTTGGTGCTTTTTCAGCTCCACATCGAAGTGCGTGATGAATTTCTCGAAATTTTTTTGGTAAATTCCGAAAAAATCCATGTGGTCCCCCCTTTAGTCGTAAACCATCAAAACCAAAAGTTTCAAAAAATCGTAGCAATTAAACCAGGGCCTCCGGGGCTTCGGAAGAAACTGTTTTCGGTACTATTTTTGGTGCTCTTTCAGCTCCACATCAAAGTGCGGATGAATTTCGCACGGTCGAGATTTCTTGGGAATTCGGAAGAAGGGCCATGTGGTCCCCCCTTAGTCGACCATCAAACAAAAGTTTCAAAAAATCCTAGCAATTAAACCAGGGCCTCCGGGGCTTCGGAAGAAACTGTTTTTGGTACTATTTTTGGTGCTCTTTCAGCTCCACATCGAAGTGCGTGATGAATTTCTCGAAATTTTTTTGGTAAATTCCGAAAAAATCCATGTGGTCCCCCCTTTAGTCGTAAACCATCAAAACCAAAAGTTTCAAAAAATCGTAGCAATTAAACCAGGGCCTCCGGGGCTTCGGAAGTAACTGTTTTCGGTACTATTTTTGGTGCTCTTTCAGCTCCACATCGAAGTGCGTGATGAATTTCTCGAAATTTTTTTGGTAAATTCGAAAAAATCCATGTAGTCCCCCCCTTTAGTCGTAAACCATCAAAACCAAAGTTTCAAAAAATCGTAGCAATTAAACCAGGGCCTCCGGGGCTTCGGAAGAAACTGTTTTCGGTACTATTTTTGGTGCTCTTTCAGGTGCACACATCAAAGCGATTTCGCACGGTCGATTTCTTGCGGAATCGGGCTTGGAAGGCCTGGTCGACGAGGGCTGCCTAGTTGCAACATTGCACAGGGCATGTGTGTGTTACCTTTGGGTCTGTCCCAAATGCCCTATTCGGAGGGGGAGCGGTTTGAGATTCAACTACGGTAAGCTACTTAATTACGATCAACTTTTTTTTTGCTTTGAAGATAGTGTTTTAAATTTGTGTTTATCCATTTTAATTTAGCTTCACTGGCGAGCGCGCCATCGACATTAATTTCATTAATGGGGCGTGGGACGGGACAACGTTTTCTCGGCCGAATGTGCCGCTCAGCGTGGCGCGCCAGATTACGGTAGACATTTAGAAAGATTTTATCCACTTGAACTTGATGGTGACGTCGAGACGGCTCTCGAAAATGACCCCTAATCACATCGAGCCATTTTTAGTGCTACGGCGACGTGAAGGACGTCATTTTCCAAGCTGACGTGATGCGGGATCAAGGTATCCTTTATTTAGTGAAGGTTTTTGGGGCCTGAAGGAATACGGTAGGACTACAACTACTTTAGACAACGTCACTGTTTAGGTATCTGAGGAAAAGACGCGGGACTGCTTGACCCTGCCGGATTCGTCGCAGCCTCTTCCGCCGCCTCCACCCGAGACGCCGTTAGTCGGATTTTTGGTTTTCTATTGTTTTTCATTCGTCACCATCACCATCACCCTCATCCTCCAAAAGGCAAAGGCTCTCGCCACCATCATCACAACAAGAATGGAAAAGGCGGGAGCAGCAGCAGCGGGAGTGGTAGCGACAATCATCAACATGGCGGAAGTGTTGAGGATGGTTTTGATGGTAGGTTAAAAATACAGTTATATAAATTAAGCAAATAAATTTACTACTTTGAATAAAAATCAAAGCGTATTTTAGGCTTCAATGTTGTGGTTGAGAGTTCTGAGGGTGACTGGCCGAGCTAAAGTAATTTTAATTTTTCTCGGGACATATTATTGTTGAAAAACCATGAATAAACGCCTTAATCGAACACACAGAAATACAAAGCACATAGCAAATAAAACGGATGCATGAGGGCCATCAGATGAAGATGTAATGACCATTCCTCTTAGGTCCCACTTCGCCTCCTTTCAAGGAACATTCAAAGGCACTCTTTGTGTGTCTTGATTTCTGAGCACTTGACTTTTTGCGGTGCAAAGCCCCCTGATTTTATAGCCCGAAACCGCTTAACCGTCCGTGGGAGCGGACAGCTCGTTAAATCCCGAAGCTTCTCGAGGTGGAGATGCAAATCGGGACGCGATATAAATTTTCAGAATAGCCATTTTGCCACCCATTTAGGCCGATGTGGCTTTTGCTATGCTTCGGGTTATTTTGCGCGGCTTCCGGATATAAGGATCCGCACTGTAAGTGAGTTGCGAGGCGTACGTGGCTACACGAAACTACGGTAGAGTACGCGTGCGCTCGCGCGTTTGGTGGGTAGACGGTATTTGATTTCAGGGTTCGTCCAATGTTTCGACCGACCACTGCGCGTCGGTGATGCGATTACGGTACGGGGAAGGATCATCCGGGGAGCGGCGAGGTTGGATTTACGATTTGCTGATGCGGAGAGAGAGAGAGAGAGAGAGAGAGAGAGAGAGAGGGAAAGGAAGACCTACAGATGGACGTGCAACATTGCAATGTCTGAGATGAACAACATGATCATCCACGCCGATCATCGCATCCAGCCGGGTCCTGGTGAGGGTACAAATGGGACGCATTTGAACTGCAGGAATAATATGGGGGTAGGTTGTTGAATAACGCTAGGCTTTACCGACTACATACCCCAAATTTCAGCCCTGGGTCCGGGAGGAGCACTTCAGCAAGATCCCATTTGCCGGCGGGCCATTTGAGCTGACGTTCCGGTGAGAATTACGACATCAAATTAGAATCTTCAAGTTTTTTCGTTAAATAATCCAAAAAAATCGATAATTACAGTAGTGCATATATATTTTTAGAATTGCCGCAATCAACAGCGTGCACGTACACTACGCCAGTGGGGTTTGGCAAGGTGCTACCTATGCTCGTGGTGGCAATGTTCCGCTACACACCGCTCGGCAGATTGACGTGGGTGATTTTTGGGAACTGCAAATGCTATTTGGGTTTTAAAGGGAGCATGGCAGCAGTTCCTTGACGAGCTTTTAGACAAAAGGCGAGTTTAAGACCTATAGCAAAAACTACAAAAACTGGCGTGCGTCATCGAGGGGGTAGCTAGCAGTGATTCTTTGAAAGAAGGGAGGCTAGAAGCTAATTTTTTCAGTGCAACGGCGATCTGACAGGCGTGACATTCCACGGGCCGGTGATGAGAGGGATTGTAAGTTACTCTAAATACATTTCTATATCTTGGATTGGCTTGTTAGCCCCATTAAAACGGCTTTCTCTAGCCACCATGATTTTCATTAGCCTCGAAAGCTTACTGTAACTTACAAGATACGTGAGCGCCTAATTACGCAGTAAAACTCCGACACAGAAAGACGAGCGTAATTAGGATAAATTAGGATACAGGATTTATAGATACTCAGTATTTAAGATATCTACGATCCATTGCCATAATTTTAGGTCCGAGCCGCCAAGAGCCGTCCGGACTGTATGAAGTTTCCGGCCCAGAAACCGGGACCAAAACCCGGAGGAAAGCCAGGACCAAAACCCATGCCGAAGCCGCGACCAAAACCGCATCCCAAGCCCCATCCCCATCCGCACCCGCACCCGGCACCGAATCCAGGCCCAGGACCGTAAGTAGTACAAGCGCGGAATTTGTATTTTAGAGTACAGTAATCCCCCACCACCACCACCTCCGGCCAGCCACAGCCATAGCCACAGTCATAGCCATGATCACAGCCATAGTCACAGTCATGGGAAAAGTGATGGGGACAAGGGTGAAGGTGGGTTTGCGACTTTTTAAAGGGAATTGCAAGGCTTTGCTATGGATTTTGTCGACCATGGATTTTATGGCTTTTTCGCTGTCAGAAAACACTTGAATTCCATGCGGTAATGGACAAGCAAAAAAAACGCCGCTGCTCAAGAACGGCGGCGGCAACGGCCGAATCCAGAAAAATCAACATAAAAATCCATAACCATGTATTCAAAGTCTCTTTAAGACGCAAATTTAAATAATTTTGTTTGAACTATGTTTTTAGCAGTAAATACCTCGAAAAGTCACTTTTATTTAGGTTTTAACGTCCAGGATTATGAGGTGGTTGCGGCCGGTGGCGATGACGAAGATTTCTAAAAACTCTGCAAAGATAAATTGTTATGCAGACCCGTTAATGACACTTGCTTATGAGTTTTGAGCCTTTTCCTTGATTTTGATCGGAAGCCGAAAGGCACATCGCGCCCAATTTAAATCCCATCAAAAAGTGAAACCACCCCATAAAATCGCGCGCCCGTATTATGACCTCGCTTACGATTTGCCTCCGAGTCACAAAGTTGCAGAAATCAAATACGATAAAAAAGATGTTGTTTTCCTTTTCGTTTTCCTTTTCCTTTTCCTAATTTCACGCCTGAATGACGGATTCGAGACCTAATCTCGATAAAGCCAAAATCCCGACAGCTACAAACCCCGATACAGTCTCGAAGTTTCCATCCTATTTCGTGTTGAAGAATTAGCTTCCAAGTCGGTATTTTTTCTGTCGAGATTTTTGCTGTCGGCATTTTGGCGTTTTGCGCTGAATAACCTTTATTTAATGCCCCTAACTTAAAATTTATCACTTGAAAAATGTAAGCCCTTTTAAAATGTCCTATCAAATAATTAAAGCTAAACTTGGTGATTGGCGTAATTAGGAGATTTTAGAACATCAAGAAATTCTGGGAATTTGCATAATCACTTTTATGCAGAAAATAAACTTTTCCGAGGCCCCAAATCACAAAATTGCAGAAAATCACGGCGTTCCGGGGCGGCTCACTAAAAATCAATGCGCCGCGGTCAAATAAGGGCAATGATTGCGAGGCACAACTGTCGACAGATCACAATATGTGTTTTTCACCGTCCATTATCAGCCGGTTTCTGAGGGGTTAGTCTTCATAAAGCGCCTAGCGTTCTTCGTCGTCTGTCAGCTTTGATCAAAGATGACTTTTTTGTTTATTTTTTTAATTTTCAGCGAATTGTTGAGCTACTTAAATAATTGATTTTTAATCCATGTTGCAAATTTCAGATGTTTTTGCTGTTACTCGCGCTTGCTGTTGTATCTTACGTTTTTCATGAGGTGTATTGGAAACGGAGGAAGTTGCCGCCAGGTTTAATTTTAAAGACCTAAAGTTTTAAGTTTATAGCTTTTTTATAGCAGAAGCTATTCCGGGTCATGGATAACAGAATTAAGAGACTATTTTTTGCTTTTCAAATATTTATAAGTTGATCTAAAAATCATATCTATAAATTCATTCTTTTTGGGATTTTGTAATGGCTATAGATAATTTTACAATTATTCGTTTTTGCTTTAGCTGAAACAGTTAGAACAATCCGGATTGGAAATGAATTCGGTCGGCGAATTTTGATGTGTATAGCTAAGGAACCGTTTTTTAACTTAATTTGGTTCTAAAATTGGTAATATGTAGTAAACTATCTAGCACTTAATTTATTCAGGCCCAACCCCGCTTGGAGTTTTTGGAAATACCATCGAGATCCACCAAAAAGCCCCCGGCTACGAGGCGTACGGTGGATGGGGCAAGAAATATGGGCCAGTGCATACTTATTGGATGGGTAAGTATATTACCAGTATAAGAAAAAATTCAAAACATGTGCATCGGGACGAGATTATGACCATCTTATTACTTTAGGTACTCAACCTATCATCGGCATCTCCGATTTTGCACTCATCAAGCAGCACATAATCAATGACGGGGATAAATACACCGCCCGGTGGAACATGAACGATTTGATGCTCGATTTTGTTGGTGAGCACGAGGGTTTAGAATGTTTTAATAGAGAATATATCAGGTTGGTAGATAAGTCCTGTCAGAAATTTTTGAAATCGCGCTATAAAGCCGCAGAAACGTCCAATTTTCACTTGCGATACATGATTTGATAGGTCTTGAGATGCTCTACCGTGGGTGCAGTCGGATAGGGTCTGGAAATTGTGGGTCGCCGAGATAACGGCCCTTGCAGATTTTTGAATAATTACGCAAAAGTGTTTTAGCGAGTTATCTCTGCATAGAGCAATTTGCATGCGATACCTTTAACACCAATCGATAGCTCTTGAGGAGTAGATATTGATAGATGTTGAGATCATCAAAAACGGACATCAGATGGCCGAGATATGGTCCCTTGAAATTTGGCCCATTTCTTAGAACTTTTCTCGAAATCCCATACATTTTGACAAAATCTTCTCGGTGCGTGCAAAAACAAGGCGGCAAAGTTTGGCACAAATGTGCAAAATGTATGGGATTTGGTGAAAAGTTCTAAGAAATGGGCTAAATTTCAAGGGGTCGTATCTCGGCCATCTGATGTCCGTTTTTGATGATCTCAACATCTATCGATATCTACTCCTCGAGAGCTATCGATTGGTGTTAAAGGTATCGCATGCAAATTGCTCTATGCAGAGATAACTCGCTCGAAAGCTGTGACTAGATTTTGAGCGAAACTTTTCGAAGCTGTATCTCGGTGACCAGCGACTTCGGGGTCCTAGAAGGGTCATGCTGCGGTAGAGCGTCCGAAGACCTATCAAATCATGTATCGAAAGCCCAAATTGAATGTTTCAGTGGCTTCATACAGCGATTTCAAAAAATTGTGACAGGACTTATCTACCAACCTGATACCTTGAAACCGCGCTAAAAAGACGGGAAAAATCAAAATTAATTTTTGAGATTCTGTGAGTGGAAAACTGTGTTTAAGGAGGCGACTACGGCATCATCGGCTCGATGGGGGAACTGTGGCGGGAGCAGAGGAGGTAAAAAAAACTTTAATAAAATGTCGTCATCTTTATCTGAAACTTTTTATATGGAATTGAATTACGATATTTTTGAGGCTTTAATAAGAATTTATAGGATTTGAAGCCTATAAATTTTATGCTAAATAGGGTATTAAACAAAGTCTATTATCCATTTTCAACCAGAAATTTTTCGGCTCCAAGTCGTTTCTTTTGCATTCAAATCAAAATTAAGACTAACCCTCCACATCATGCGTGATTTCGGGATGGGCCGAAATATTATGGAAGACCGGGTGATGGTTGAAGTAGATTTTCTCATCGACCGCCTGGCAAGCCTAAAGACGGAAGTTTCGGTCCAGGTAAGCCAAGCCTACTGTATCGCTAACCAAGTCATTTTAGCATGAGTTCGACATCGCCGTCGGATCCGTCATTAACAATATTTTATTTGGGTATCGGTTCGACGAGGTAAAAATACCTGAATCTGCTAGAGATCCCATTTTTCAGCAACACCTCGACGAGTTTAGCCTCGTTAAAGAATCGCTGCGGGACCTCGTCAAAATTCTGACGTCCCCGCTTTTTTTGCTGGCTATGATGACGCCGCAAATTCGAGGGATACCTCCCTTCAAAGGTAGTTGAAGATTACTGCTACCTATTGTAGACATCGAAATCTTGTAAAGAAGGTTTCGAGGATGCTAGGGGCCAAAAACAGTAAGTATGACTATCAAAAAGTAACGAAAAGCACTAGCGATCGTTTCCTCCAAAAGTAAAAAGTTCGCTCCTGGGTGGGTTCGAACCACCGACCTTTCGGTTAACAGCCGAACGCGCTGCCGATTGCGCCACAGAAGCGATGCTGAGAGGCGAGCGGGGAGGGGCTATACGATAGTGGGTCAAATACGGCCCGTCAATTAGTGTCAGAGGCAAGGTATCGCACTCCCATCACCCGTTTTTATCGAAGTTCGAAGCGGTGATAAGTCGCCCCAGATTATTAAGCACAAAAATTAGAAAATAACTATAAAAAATATTAAGAGCATTACAGGACTATACCAAAAATTCTACGATACTCGCGATGTCTTGCTCGGTTTTATCCGCCGGCAAATTGAGATGAAAAAGAAAATGGTCAAATATGAAGCTGAGGTGATGCTTTAAGCTTTAATCTAGCTCTTTTAGATGTCTAGTAGATAAATACATTTAATGTATATGACAAGTACATAGCCCAAAGCGCCTAAATCACGTATTTTTTTTTTCAAGGAATCCGAGGATTTCGTCGAGAGCTACCTCAAAGAGTGGGAAAAGAAGAAGGGCACCGATCAGGAGGGTTACTATTTGTCAGTGAATTATGAAACCTGGAAAATTCTAATCTTTTAGTGAGCAACAACTCGTCGCCGTCGTCGTCGATATTTGGACGGCCGGGATGGAAACCACCTCAAATACCCTTACTTGGGCCATTTGCTATATTTTGAACCATCAGGAAGTCCAGGAAAAACTACATGAGGAATTGGATCGCGTAATCAAATCCGATCGCAAGGTTACGGCTGCGGATAAGAATAATTTGCCGTATGTGAATGCGGTGGTTAGCGTGAGTTTTGGGCTTTTAAAGGAACGTGCAAACCAGCTTTTCCATTGCGTAACAGAATACGAGCTTTTTTGCAGCCAAGCGGCGCGTTGCGTTCCGCGGGTTTCCAACATTTTCATGGTATTATAACATCAACAAATTTTTCAGGAAGCGCAACGCCTTTGCAACCTCCTTCCTCAAAATCTATTTCGCGTGAACACTGAAGACGTCACAATCGGCGGCTACAGTATCCCAGCCGGTAGTGTGATCGTCCCGCAAATCAGCGCTGTAATGTATGATGAAAGGGTAAGGTCAATTTTTATTTTTCAAGCTCATGTAAGCTAGCAGAGATGATTTAGGAAGGCTGGTTTTATAACTAGCGAAGATCACTGGGGAGGTCGTTTAGACGATTCCTTTGAATTCATACTTTTTAGGCACCCCGTGTCAAAAAGGGTAAGCTAGCAGAGAGCGTGTAGGAACCTTTTCCCTAGGGTAGAGCTGGCAGAGAGCAAATGAGAGGGATTAGGGAGAGATTAGAGATTAGACAGAGTACTGTAGAGGGCCTAGGGAGGAAGATTAGAGGACAAGCCCTGAAGTTATGTAAACTCCAAAAAAATCAATGATTTAGGTCTTCCCCGAACCATATAGCTTCAATCCTGAGCGATTCCTAAAACCGGATGGTACCTACAAGAAATACGAAGAGCTAGTACCGTTTTCCGTTGGGAAACGAGCCTGTGTCGGTGAGGGGTTGGCAAAGCTAGAGCTTTACCTCTTCTTGGCAAATATTTTCCAGAGCTATAGGGTAAGTTTTGTAATCCCTAAATGCTTGAGATTTTTTGCAAACTATAAGATCGTTTTTCAGGTAACCGCGCGTACCCTACCGTCTATGGAGAAGGGAGGCGGCCAGATTGTCACTTGCAAACCTTACAAATGTAATTTTGAAGCGAGGCATTCGTGATTCATTTATTAAAATGATTCCTTGAGCCATGATTGTGGCATAGAAATTTGCATATATCTGTTGTCTACTGTATTTATGAAAAAATAATAAAATGGACATCACCCTGGAGTGATCAACTTCCAGTTTGAAAATCGTGTAATAGCATGCATAATCTTAGGTAACATCAGCCATGATTTTTCAGGTTGTATTCTCCGAAGCAGAGTATTTACAATGCCTAAAAATTTGTATTTAGCCCTTCAATGGCATTTTAAATGGATCAGAAATCCACGCGTGAAATTTTGCATCTTAAAAAGCTAGCATCGAGCAGTAGACGTCTTCCCTGCAAACTGAGGCGTAAAAAGTGTTGCTTTTTGAGCACCACGGCCCACAGCCATTGGCCAACATTGCACAACGTGTAACATGTTTCCGAGGTCAGCCCCAGCCGGACGACCCCCTACAAATAGATACGGCCGACAAAACAGACTCGCAGTACTCGCACGACTCATCCAAAAATCAATCTTGCCCCGGCTCCGGGTCGGGGCAAATGACGGCGCAGGCCAAAAATTGCCCTGAAAAAAGCGCTCAGCCGGTCTGCTCGGAACTGATTGCCCGATTTGCGGCAGAACCATTTTTTTTGAGGTTGAAATTTTCGATTACTTTACACTTTATTTACTTTACTTACCGCATTCTTTGTTGAAAATTGGCCATTTTCAGCCTAGGATACTGTAGTTTAAACTATTAAGCTGATCTGCACTCTTTTAATGCTGTGTTTTCAAATTTTTCACGCTGATTTCCCGATTTTCGTGGGCCCTAATTTTTTCCAAGGTCGAAATTTTCGATTCTCATCCCGAAATTACAGCATGTTGTGCAAAAATTTTTTTTGCTCATTTTTGGCACAAGTTACTGTAATTCAGAATTTTAAGTTTGCTTTAGGTAGTTACAATTTTTTACGGAAGCCATATCTTTGTGTAGCGGTTTTATTGCCTTTTTTCGAATTTTGCACGGTGGTTGAGGCAGAAAATTTTTGGTTTTAAGCCTTAAACTACATTATATTTTACCTTAATCTGCCTATTTGCAGGGCAAGTTACTGTACTTTATTGCTCTTAAATCTGTTTGAGTTTTTACAAATTGGTTTCGGAGGTTTTAGTTTTCGGCTTGGAGCTGAATTTATCTTTTTCAAATCCATTTCTCTGTTTGTTTATGCTGATTTCTACGAATTCCTTCTCGAAATTTTTCATTCTTCTCGTCTATTTCCAAAATTACGCAAATTTCAGCGATGTTTCTACTTTTGGTTGGCACAGTGATTTTCTTGTACGTATTCCATGAGGTCTACTGGAAACGCAGGAATTTACCGCCAGGTAAGTCTTAATTTGAATTTGCATATTCCATTTAGGCCCGATTCCCTGGGGATTTCTGGGGAATACGATCGAATTTGGGATGAAATCACCTGGATATGAAGCTTTTCGTGGGTGGGCCAAGAGATATGGACCAATGCATACTTACTGGCTAGGTGGGTGAGAGCGAGCGAGAGAGAGAGAGAGAGTGCGAGAGGGAGAGAAACAGATTTCTTTTAGGAACCCAGTCTATAATCGCGCTAACCGATTACGACCTCATCAAAAAGCACATTATCAACGATGGCGAAAAATATGTGGATCGAAATGGGATCGGCGATTTAATGCAGGAATACCTAGGTTTGAAGGCTATCTCTGTCTCTCCCTCGCTCTCGCTCTCTCTCTCTCTCTCTCTCTATATCGCATGCTCTCCCTTTCTTTCTCTCTCCCTTTCTTCACGGAATGGTTTCAGGCGGTAATTTCGGCATCGTCAGCTCGATGGGTGATTTGTGGAGGGAGCAGAGACGGTTTTTTTTGCTTCTGATGTTTAATATTAAAATTTTTTGAGGCTTACTGTCCACATTCTTCGCGATTTCGGGATGGGCCGAAATGTGATGGAGGAGAGGGTGATGATCGAGGTCGACTTCCTGCTAGAACGGCTCCAGAGTCTGAAGTCGGGCATCGCGATGCAGGTGGAAATTTACGACATCAATACGCTATGAAAGCAATTTTTCAAACTCTCGCTAAAAATTCACTCCATTTTAGAATGAATTCGACGTTGCCGTTGGATCGGTCATCAACAATATTCTTTTTAGCTACCGTTTCGACGAGGTATATCTTTCAAAAAAAAAAGGACACACGCCGTCGCCTGTTTTACAGGCCCACATGGACGAATTCATCTTGATGAAAACTTCACTTCGAGATCTAGTAAAAGTTGTGATGAACCCGACGTTCCTGATAGCCGCCATGCAGCCGAAACTTCGCGGAATTCCCCCATTTAAAGGTACATTTTTGAGGCTAAACAAGTTCAATTGGAATTTACAGGGCTTTTCCAAAAATTCTACTCGGCTAGGGACGCACTATTGAACGGTATTCGAGGGCAAATTGCGGAAAAGCGGAAGGCGGTCAACTACGATTCAGAGGTAAAGCATTATGGAGCGTAAGCTCCAGCCTAATCCCTAAACTTAGCCCTAAGCCTAAGCTAAGCCTAGGCCTAAGCCTGAGCTCCAATGATAAACGCAAGCGGAAAGAACCGTGAAATTCCAGGAATCTGACGATTTTGTGGAAGCGTACCTGAAAGAGTGGGAACGGAAGAAGGGGACCGATCAAGAATCTTTCTATTTGTAAGTCTCTCTCTCTCTCTCTCTCTCTCTCTTTTAAGTTTAATACCGAACTTCTAGTGAGCAACAGCTCGTCGCGGTCGTGCTCGACGTTTGGGGAGCCGGTATGGAAACCACCTCAAATACCCTCACCTGGGCCGTATGCTACATCCTCAATACACCCCACGTACAACCGAAAATGCACGAGGAATTGGATGGCGTCATCGGCTCCGAGCGCAAAATCGAATGGGCTGACCGCAATGCTTTGCCGTATATGAATGCGGTGATTAGCGTAGGTTTTTCATGGGTATTCGGACCTTAGATAAAGTGCTACGTAAAATAGTACGAAATGGAATTTATTTGGTGTGATCATCTGTGTTTAGGAAACGCAAAGGCTTGCCAATCTACTACCAAACAACCTTGGTCGCGTTACAACGGCGGATACGGTAATCGAAGGCTACCGTATCCCAGCCGGGCAAGCAATTTCCCCGCAAATCAGCTGCGTGCTTTATAATGATGAGGTAAGTAATAGACTAAATTTTCAGTGTCATAGGGGAAACAACCAAAATTCCGGCATTCAAAACGCCGACAGCCAAAATGGACGCATTCAAGATACCGACAGTCAAAATTCCGACAGCCAAAATATTATCATTTTCACTTGTCGGCATTTTGATGCCAACATTATTACTGTCGGTATTCTGGCAATCAACCGGGGGGTTCGTCATTTTGGCTGACGGTATTTTGAATTTCTGCATTCTTGTTGTCGGCATTTTGAGATCCGTCAATCCGGCTATAATGATGCTGCCAGCATGTTGAATGTCGTAGTTCGGCATTTCGTCCGGAGTCCTCATTTCTATTTCGACGGGACAAACTTCCTGGTTAAACTAAGTTTTTCTTTTTTTCAGATTTTCCCTGAACCGTACAGCTTCAAGCCCGAGCGCTTCATAAATTCCGATGGCAGCTACAAAAAATACGAAGAATTCATTCCGTTCTCGGTCGGAAAACGGGCATGTCCTGGCGAGGGATTGGCCCGAATCGAGCTCTTCTTATTCCTAGCTAATGTCTTCCAACGATTTAAGGTACATCGCTTGATTTTTAAATTTTAACTAATATAGAATCGAACTCAATTTAAATTCAAATCTCAAGTACAACCATGTGTTTTTCAGGTTTCCTCCGTTCAGAAACCGTCAATGGAAAAGATTGCCGGCTCTGTCGTGACGGCCCATCCATATAATTGTAAGATGGAAGTTAGGCATAATTAGTTCGCAGTCGCAAATAAATGCTCGAATGCTTTTATTCATTTATTTCTAAAAATCACACCAGAAATTTTATTCCACTTCAATCGAATATATTTTCTGCTTTGCCTCCACGATATTTCTTGGTAGCGCCAAGGCGCTGGGATTGGCCACTGTCCAGCGCGCTTGCCGATCAGCGAAATTTGGGTAGTCGAGCAACTCGAGGCCTCGAAGACGGGTAGGTTCCGACGCTCTAGTGAACGCGGGTTCCTAAAAAAATTAGTCAAATTCAGCGTAGAAATTACCGCTGGGAAGCCGTGAGCTTGTCGAATTTGTTCTTCTAGAGCTTTGTCTGAAATTTGAATATTTCAGCGTTCTCGCATTCACTCTCTCTCTCTCTCTCTCTCTCTCTCGATCGCTCTCGCTCCCTTTCCCCTTCGCTCAGTTCTCCCTCTCTCTCACTCACTCTCTCACTCACTCTCTCACTCTCTCATCTCTCCCTCCCTCTCTCTCACTCTCTCTCACTCTCTATTCCCACCTTGGTCCTGAACGCGCTGAACTCGTTCCTCCTTCGTGAATCTGTGACTACTGACAATATCGTGCATGCAGTTTCCGACATATTGATAGCAATAAGCTGGCCAACAAAAGAAGCAACTAAAAAGCTAAAAAAAATGAAATATTCAAATTACGATACCGGCAAAGCACGCCTCCACAACAGCAACAGCACCAACAACCAAAACAAAAAGTCATGGAGAAAACACCCAAAAACACGGTAAGTTTTTCGCGAAGGGCTTCTGAAAAATACCAGATGTTGAGAGAACGATATAGAGAGGGAGAGAGAGAGAGAGAGAGAGAGAGAGAATCCAATATTTATTCAAATAGACTTACCATCAACCCTGGGATGATGATTCTCATCTGTCGTATCCAATAACCATCTAATAGTTATAATTATACCAAGATTTACGATCGTCAACTAAATATTTTGCATTTTAATGTCCTAATTTGAATATTTTTCGTGGCCTTTTGCCTTATTAATTTGCG